AGCTAAAAAGACACTTCCCCAAAGAGGAAATGCAGATGGCCAACAAGCATATGAAAAAATGTTCAACATCACTTGTAATAAGGGAGATGCAAATTATATATGTATGTATATATATATACATAAAGTAGTTATAAAGTGGTTTTTTTTTTATACATCATTCTGTGCATTTTTCCATCTCGGTTGTAATCCCCATGTGCTTCCCATCACCAATTCACCCGTGTGCCATCACCATAGTCCAGTGCATTTCCCTATCCCCACTGTTTTTGATCCCATTCCCCATTCCACCCCCATAAAATGTCTCTAGTATATAGTTGTTCATTACTACTATTATTTTCTCCCCTGGTCATTTATATTCCTGCTATGAGTGAAACCATCCATTATTTTTCCTTTTCTTTCTGGCTTATTTCTCTAAGCATGATCCCTTCCAGCTCCATCCATGTTGCTGCAAAAATCTTGTGTTTTTTTGGTTGCTGAGTAATATTTTTGTTTGGTTGCTGAGTAATATTCCATTGTGTCTATGTACCACATCTTATTAATCCAGTCTTCCACTTTTGGGCATTTGGGTTGTTTCCATGTCTTTCCAATTGTAAGTAAAGTAGCAATAAACATGAGGGTGCAGGTGTTTTTTTGAATCAGTCTTTTAGGTAGATACCGAGGAGTGGGATTGCTGGGACATAGGGAAGCTCCATGTTTAGCAGTTTGAGGAAACTCCAATCAGTTTTCCATAGTGGTTGTATTAGTTTACATTCCCAGCAGCAGTGCAGGAGAGTTCCTTTGTCTCCACATCCTCACCAACACTTGTTTCTAGTTGTTTTAAGATGTGTTTTAGATGTTCTCATTGGTGTTAAGTGATATCTCATTGTGGTTTGTGTCTCCCTTATTACAAGTGATGTTGAACATTTTTTCATATGTTTGTTGGAGAAAAGCTAGTTTTAACAATCCCCCATTGCTGCATTTTGTGCATGTGTTTGAGACACATCTAACACTGTCCTATGCTATTGTTTGCACTCTCAGTCTACTATGTGGGGTACCTGCTGCTTCAGAGACCCTTTCCTGAGGGCCCACTTCCCTGCCTGACTCCTCACTTGTCTCCTTGCAATTTCTTTTTTTCTGCCTGCCATTGAAATACTAGCAGTCCTCAGAGCTATTCTGAGGTCTTGGTCCTAGCCCACTTTCTTATAATTCTTAGCCTGAAATCCACTGACCCTGAGTCCATTGGTGGGTTTGAGGAGGAAGATCCACAACCCCACCCCATAGAATGTTACTTTGCACCTACATAACAAATAGGCAGGGGCAGTTATTCTAAAAAGAAAGTCCATAGTACACATCTGATTTTGGAAGTGATTCTAACCCCGTTTCCTATCCCCAGTAAGAATCATGATCCCCTTGGTTTCAATGTTCCCTTGATAAAGACAACTCCAAATCTACTTCCTGGTATCTTCCTGAGACCTAGGTACCTAAGGCCAATGACTTGAGGAAAATTTGCCTCAAAGGCCCCTTAAGTAGCTCAAATTTAACAATCCAAAGCTAAACACATCACCCTCCCCCACCCCACCCCCACTCCTCCTCATGCATGTCTTATTTTAGTAAAAGATACTGCCATGCACCCTTCTGACCAAGCCAGAAATGTGGGCACTCTTTCTCCCCACATTCCAGAAATTACAAGATGCTGTCTTCTGCAGGGTCTGATCCAGCTGTCGGATCTAGCTCTGCCCAATGTTGGGATGCATTAGAATGTAAAAGCACACTATGGACCAGGCTGCCCGAGTTGCCTCCCTGCTGACAGGTATCTTTTAGTAAGTTACTTAACTTCTCTGTGCCTTGGCTTTTTTTTATCTTCAAAATGCAGAAAATAACGCATTCATCCTCTCTGTGAATAGTGCTTACACACACACACAACATTATATTACTAGACATTACAAGCACTATTTTGTGCAATCAATGTTCGTTTACACTTGCTTACACACAACATTTTCACTTTTCCTTCTTGCATCTCAGATCTCCCATCTGGGATCATTTACTTTTTGCCCAAGCTATTTCCTTTACCTCATTTAGAGAGTATCTCTCCTAGTGACATACTTAGTTTTTACTGATGGCAAGGCCCAGGGCAAAATTCCCCAATTCCTTCAGTCCTTTTCTAGTTTTTGATCTGCAGTAATCAAAAACAGCATTGGGGCCCTCCCTGGTGACGCAGCGGGTTAAAGCACAGCATAAAGAAGCTTAAACCACTTCTGCATGAGTTCGATTCCCGCCTGCCCCGGAGGTGACCACATGGTGCGGCAGACCTCTCCTGACCCGCCCGTGCTCCCCTCAGCAGTGTACTTCGTCGATCTGCCTGTTCTGTACCCCACTCTGTCTCTGGTGAA